GAGCAGCCATGACAGGAAATGCGAGAGGAAATGGAAATGTGTGTAAGAGAAGGCTAAGACACACCACTTTCCAGTCCAAGAAGCATCAAAGGCTCAAAAAATAAGCATGGCACTGACCACTATTAGGGCAAGAGAAACTGCAACGCTTTGCTCAGTGGTTTCCGTGGGGTAAAGGTGGCAGCCTCGCCCTGAGAACTGAAAGCACCAGGCTGGTATCAGTCACCAAGGCTGCCGGCCCGGTCATTGTCGTTATCCTCATTCGCTGCCAGGTGGTCTTTCTGCTCGCTCCCCGGTTCTCTGACATGTTCTAGAGGACTCTGCCAGCCAGCTGAGGTGGACATATGAAATCTTCACTGTCTGCCTAAGGGCTACCATTTCCTTGGTGTTTGCTATTCTGCTGCTTTACTGTGGTCCTTTATTGGAAATGGCTAATTGTTTAATGGAAGCAAGCTTTCTGCTTCCTGGTTCACTTCCAGGGCCCAGAACAATGCCAGGTGCATTTTGAGTAGGCACTCGATGGAGACTTATGACCCAAAGTACAATGATTAAGGACCCACTTCAAAGTCAGATAAGAGGTTCAAACTTCACTCTGGTCCTTACTGTGTGACCTTGGGCAAGTTAAATACCCTTTCTGAACCTCAGTTTTCTCAAAGGTAAACACAGATAGGAGTAATACCTACACCAACTAGAACTGTTCAGAGGTTTCAATATAGTAACACAAGTGTCCAGCTACTTTGTCCATGGTAGGCATTCAGTAAATGTTCGTCTGAGGCTGAGGAAAAGGTAACCAGACAGATAAACTTGGTATAGGGGTTCTTTTTAAAATATATTTTATTGATTATGCTATTACAGTTGTCCTATCCCCCCCTTATTCCTCTCCACCCTGCACACCCCTTCCCACCCACATTCCCCCCCTTTAGTTCATGTCCATGGGTCATACATGTAAGTTCTTTGGCTTCTACATTTCCTATTCTATTCTTAACCTCCCCTTCTATATTCTACCTACCCTTTATGCTACTTATTCTAGTTTTTCCCCCTCTCTTCCCCTCCCACTCCCTCACTGATAACCCTCCATGTGATCTCCATTTCTGTGGTTCTGTTGCTGTTCTAGTTGTTTGCTTCGTTTCCTTTTGTTTTTGTTTTAGGTGTGGTTGTTAATAATTGTGAATTTGCTGTCATTTTACTGTTCATATTTTTATCTTCTTTTTCTTAGATAAACCCCTTTAACATTTCATATAATAAGGGCTTGGTGATGATGAACTCCTTTAACTTGACCTTATCTGAGAAGCACTTTATCTGCCCTTCCAGTCTAAATGAAAGCTTTGCTGGATAATGCAAACTTGGATGTAGGTCCTTTCCTTTCATGCCTTGGAATACTTCTTTCCAGCCCCTTCTTGCCTGCAAGGTCTCTTTTGAGAAATCAGCTGAGTCTGATGGGAACTTCTTTGTAGGTGACCGTCCTCTTATCTCTTACTGCTTCTAGGATTCTCTCCTTCATTTGAATCTTGGCTAATGTAATGATGATGTGCCTTGGTGTGCTCCTTCTTGGGTCCACTGTCTTTGGGACTCAGCTTCCTGGACTTCCTGGAAGTCTATTTCCTTTGCCATATTGGGGAAGTTCTCCTTCATTATTTGTTCAGATAAGTTTTCCACTTGTTGCTCTTTCTCATCTCTTTCTGGTACTCCTATAATTCAGATGTTGGAACATTTAAAGATGTCCTGGAGGTTCCTAAGCCTCTCCTCATTTTTCTGAATTCTTGTTTCTTCATTCTTTTCTGGTCGGATGTTTCTTTCTTCCTTCTGGTCCACACCGTTGATTTGAGTCCGTTTCCTTCCCATCACTATTGGTTCCCTGTACATTTTCCTTTATTTCACTTAGCATCGCCTTCATTTTTTCATCTAATTTTCAACTAAATTCAACCAATACTGTGAGCATACTGATTACCAGTGTTTTGAACTGTGCATCTGATAGGTTAGCTATCTCTTCATTATTTTCCTTGGAGCTTTGATCTGTTTTGTGTGGGCCAATTTTTTGTCTCACACACCTGTTACGTATGAGGGGTGGAGCAACCCACGTCGCTGGGTTGTGACGCTGTATGTGGGGGAGGGGTCCAAGAGGGAACAATGGTGCTTGCTCCACTCTCTGCCAGATTTTAGTCACTTCCCTCACTTACCACAAGCAAACTGTGCCCTTCTGGTGCTGATTCCCATGTGGGTGCGTTTGTATATGTTCTAGGACCCTGTGGGTCCCTCCAACTGGGAGGAGGCTGGAAGTTTCTCCCAATGCTGCCTCAACCCCCACAGGTGTTTTCAGTCAGAGGTTTGAGGCTTTATTTCCCCGCGCTGGGGCCCCAGGTTGCGAGGTCTGTTTTGCTCCCCAGTTGTTGCTCCCAGATCATCCGAGTGTGAATCTGGGTCCACCAGCTGCTGCCTTGCTGTGAGTCCTCTCCATCCAGCTGCCCCTCTCCACCCCTCCTACAGGTTTGGATGGATGTTTCTTCTTTAACTCCTTGGTTGTTGGACTTCCATACAGTTTGATTTTCTGTCAGTCCTGATTGTTTTCTGTTTTTTATTTATTTATTTTTTTATTGATTATGCCGTTACAGTTGTTCTATTCCCCCCCTTCATTCCCCTCCACCTTACCCCCCGTCCCCACCATTATCCCCCTTTAGTTTATGACCATGTGTCTCAAGTTCTTTAGATTCTATATTTCCCATACTATTCTTGCCCCCCCCGTCTATTTTCTATCTACTGTCTATGCTACTTATTTTCTGTACCTTCTCCCCCCTTCTCCTCCTCCCACTCCCCTGTTGCTAACCCTCCTTGAGATCTTCATTTCTATGTTTTCCCTCCTGATCTAGCTGTCCTTTTAGTTTGCTTTTGTTTTAGGTGTGGTTGTTAATAACTGTGAGTTTGCTGTCCTTTCACTGTTCATGTTTTTTTAACTTCTTTTTCTTAGGTAAGTCCCTTTAACATTTCATATAATAAGGGCTTGGTGATGATGAACTCCTTGAATTTGATCTTATCTGAGAAGCACTTTATCTGTCCTTCCATTCTAAATGAAAGTTTTGCTGGATGGAGCAATCTTGGATGTAGGTCTTTGGATTTCATGACTTGGAATACCTCTTTCCAGCCCCTTCTTGCCCGCAAGGTCTCTTTTGAGAAATCCACTGACAGTCTAATGGGGACTCCTTTGTAGGTGACTGTCCCCTTAGTTCTTGCTGCTTCTAGGATTCTCTCCTTCATTTTAATCTTGGCTAATGTAATGATGATGTGCCTTGGTGTGTTTCTTCTTGGGTCCAACTTCTTTGGGACTCTCTGAGCTTCCTGGATTTCCTGGAAGTCTATTTCCTTTGCCAGATTGGGGAAATTCTCCTTTATTATTTGTTCAAATAAGTTTTCCATTGGTGGCTGTTCCTTTCCCCCTTCTGGTATCCCTATAATTCGGATGTTGGAGTGTTTAAAGATGTCCTGGAGGTTCCTAAGACTCCTCATTTTTTTTGAATTCTTGCTTCTTCACTCTTTTCTGTTTGGCCATTATTTGCTTTCTTCTGGTCCACTCCCTTGATTTGAGTCCCAGTTTCCTTTTCATCGCTACTGGTTTCTGTGCAATTCCATTCATTTCAATTAGTTTCGCCTTCATATGTTTGTCTAATTTGTGGCTATAATCAACCAGTTCTGTGAGGATCCTGATGACCCGTGTTTTAAACTGTGCGTCTGAGAGTTTTGGTATTTCTTCATCGCTTAGATCTATAGGTTCTGGGGCTTTGAGATCTTCTTGAGCCATTTTTGGTCTGTTCGTGCCTCTTAAGTACGAGAAGCGGAGCCTTGGACTCCCAGGTCGCTGGGTTGTGACGCTGTATGTGGGGGCGTGGTCAGAGTGGGGAAATGGTGGCCCCCTCTGCAGTTTTGTGCTGCTGGATGAGGAGCAGAGCCCTAGGTGGTTCACTAGAGCCGGGCCACTCAGAGTCGCTGGGTTATGACGTTGTACGTGGAGGCGGGGTCAGAGCGGGGAAATGGCGTCGCCCTCCGCAGCTACCACCGCTGTCGCTTGCCACTGGGGCTGCTGGGTCCTGTCCAATTGTCCACTCCCTCGCTTGTCTGTCCACACACGAAATTCGCGACCACAGTCAACCCGCAGCCCTGCTCCCTCACTGTTTCTCCGCGGTCGTTTGCTGAGTTGCCCACCAGGTCCAATCCTACGCCTGGATTTGTCCATCTGACCGAGTTTTCCTGTGCAACCCCGCTCCGCCAGCTGCTGGTTTCACCCCTCTTACTGGTCAGGCTGAAGAATTTGTTGTTATCAGACTTCCGAAAGGTTCAATTTTCTGTGTTCTGGCTGTGTTTTCTGTTGCTATTATTTAGTTGTCTCTAAACTTGATTGTGTGAGGAAGTACAGCTTCTCCACCTATGCCTCCATCTTGGCGGAAGTCTGTTTTCTGTTTTAACATTTTTGTTGTCCTTCTTTTGGTTGTTAAGGAGGCACAGTGTGCCTATCTACACCTCCATCTTGGCTGAAAGTCAGGGGTTCTTTTTTATTTAAAAAAACCACAAAACTTTAAATAGAAACATCCTCTATGCATTTAAAATGATTTTAAAAAATATCATATAGAGATAATAGTGAAATATGTTATGGTGCAGCCATGTTGTGGAATACTACACTGCAATGAAAAAGAATAACTTGTATCTACATGTTCACACACGGGTAGGTGTCTATGTTGTTGTGTAAAGGAAAGCAAGATTCAGAATAGGAACAGAATAGTTTTCCTCCCCACTTAAAAAAATTATATATGCAGGGAAAGGTCTGGGAAGATATACTTCTAATTTTTAAAGGGGAGTAAGATCAGGGACTTCTTCTAATTTTTAACATTCCAGTTTCTTATAAATTCCAACACACACACACACACACACACACACACACACACACACACACACACACACATACACACACGCATGTATATAACAAAGGAAGAACATAACAAACTGGAAAAAAATTCTTGAATTCTCTTTGGCCTGTATTTCTCATGAGACTTTGAAAGCTAAAGAACTGAGTAGAAGAGGTGGTTAATTCCTCTGGCAAGGGTGAGAATTTCCATACCCAGCTTTCCACTTTACAAGAGATGGAAAGTGAAGGAGGGAGAGGGGGGACACGAACCGCTCATTGCTCAGCACACCCAAAGAGGTTGGCTCCCTCTCGTCCCTGCCGCCACCGAAGCCCTGACACACGGAGTTACAGGGAAACTCTTTGATAAATGTCAACTGAAATAGAGCCATCAGCTGAAAGCCATTTGCTGAGCTGTCTGACGGCCCTGAGCCTGAGGTTTTCCTTTATTCATTTATCATGATACACGGCTTTGGCCAACATACACACAGGAGAGAAATTGTTGACATGTGGAGCCCAAGTACAGAAAATCTTTCAATTTCCCCCCCGTCTGCTCACCAAATAAGTTTTTGTTTATTTAAAGACTACAGAGGATTTGGCTGTTAAGAACCAAATGCCTTTGGAGTGGAGTTACAACATAATTTATCATTTCCTCTGTTTATTAAAAAATCCTGCATCTTAGGGAAGCACATTTGCAGTGAGTGGGGGATTTCATCCACTCACGAAAGACTTGCAGAGCCCTCGCCATGTGGTTTGCCCCCCAAAAGGCGCCTCGATTGCTCTTTCCGACCTGTTCTTCCTTCAGCTGACTGCTAGTCGTCTGGGGACTACTCAGGGCTGGGGAACAGGGTACAGGTAAGCAGGGCAGGACACGGGGTCAGCTTCTCCCACCTTTGACCTAACTCTGCCCTTGAGTCCCCACTGGCTGCTGCGCAGGGCTGCACAGCCTGCTCCACCAGTGCAAGCAGAGGGCAAAGGGCACCCCTACCCCCTCCAGGAACGGAGCCCCAGAGGAGACAAACATCAGAGAAGCTGGAAGCTGCTTCATAGGGTCATGGCTGGGTCCTGCTGCTGCCGGAGTGGGTATCCTTCTAAAGGCAGATGCTTGGCAGAGGAGGATGAACTTCTTACCCACGACATTACGAATAGCAAGTTGGTCCAGTACCCCATGCACCCTCAAAGACAGGGGTCACGTCTTGCCCGATTCTGTATTCCCAGTGTGCAGCGCTGTACCTGACACAGAACTGGGGCTCCGTGAATGTTTGTGGAGGCGGCGGGACACGGCAGGTGGAGCACACGCGGCGGATCAGGCTTCAGCCTGAATCTCGGCTCTGCCACGTGCTGGCCGCGGACCCTGGGCAAGAGCCCGCACCTCTCCCGGTGCTTCCCCCTCTGCACGAGGAGGCTGACGATGAAGAGTGAACCCCTCTTACTGACTTCGTTGCTTTGGGCAAATGACCTAATATTGTTAGGTCTCAGTTTTCCTATTTGTAAAATGGAATTAATACACACCTTGCAAGTATACTGGGAAGATAAAAAATGTTGCCTAGGACTATTTCTAGTTCATCATGGCTATATTATCAATGAATGAATGGATGAATGAACAAATGAATGATTAAAAGAAAAACTAGTAGGGGGAAAAAAACTAACTTCGCCCAGTACCCAAAGATGAGCCACGACACACTACCTGCCCGCCACTGACAGGCAGACCCTGGGAAAAAGGTGTCTCATGACCAAGTACATATCGGGGACAGAGCAAGAGCAGAAAATGGCAGAATACTGTTAAGACTAGAAAGAAAGGAAAAACCAGCATTTGTTGCTCAAATGTTATGCACAATTCATTCATAACTGAGTGCCTACTGCATTTCAGGCATTATGTCAAGTTCTGAGGATGCAGAAAGTATACAGACTAATTATCAAAAAGAACAATTAAGGTTCAGACGAGACGAGCAGACAGCGTCTGACAGCCAACAATAGCAGGGGTCCTCAGCCGGTGGGAAGGGAGACTCCGAGGAAGCACCAGCCCAGCTGTGCCGTGAAGGCTGAACACCACCGGCCAGGCGAGGCGTGGAAGAAGGGTCCAGGCAGCGAACGGAGCGAGCGCAGACAGCTCAGAGGGCAAAGCGTTGTTCTGGCTGCTTTACACACAGGGCCTCGGGAATCGTTAACCCAGACTGACTCAATCATTCCTTTGTGGCTGTTGTTCTTTCCAATTCATTTTCACTTCACTGTTTGGTGAAAATCGGCCTCTAGCAGAGCCGTCCAGTGACAGGGGAAGGCCCACACCAGCCCAAGCTAAGCTTAGCACTGGGGACAGGGCCCGACTGTTAGAACAGCAGTCAGCGCCACGCCTGCCAGAGGTCCCAGGCCCCGGAGAAGAGTGGCTGGGTGGGGACAGCAGGAAGGGAATAAACAAGTCCAAGTGTCCTACTGGAAGGTGGGGCCCCAGGGGGACTGACAAGGACATGGTGACAGCCATCCCTGTGGACGGGCAGAGAGATGTCAATTTGTCACTCAGGGGAGCCACCAGAGAAGCCCTGGTGGACTGTCATCCGAGGAGTTCTTTGGTCTTCACCGCCAGGTGCCTGTCCAACTCTGTGACGGTGTCGTCGGCCATTTGGCTGATCTGCAGAAACACAAAGTGAGACAGCCTGATAAACTGGGCTGGAAAAGGGTGGGGGGTGGGGATATTCCAGAACTAGGAAAAGGTTATCTGGGAAAGAATGACGACCGCAAAAGCTCACATCCATCGAGTCCCGGCCAGGCACCGCCCTACTGACTCCTAGCAACCACCCCGAGACACGCCATTATTAGCCCCATTTCACAGGTGAGGGGACCGAGGCAGTCAGACCACCTGTTCAGGATAACAACTAGAAAGTAGCAAGAACAAAAGTCAATCCTTGGTAGTCTGACTTCCCAGCCCCAAATTCTTAACCTTTAGTCTGGAGTAGAGAGAAGCCAGCCTTACCTGTCCCTTCACGAAATTCTAGAACTCCCTGCACCTCACTCTTCTGTTTGTTACAGAAAATATTAAAATCCCAATAGTTAAGCAGGAAAAAAAGTCTTGAAAAAAGATGAAGTACATCTGGTTAACAAACACGGAAAATTCAATAAACACTGAAGAAATGGAAATTCAAACAAGACATAATTCAGTCATCATAGTTAACAAAATTTGATGTTGTGGTTTTTAATTACAATATTCAGTGCCAGGAAGCTACGGTGCAATGGGGAGGTTCACAGATCGTCATAGGGATTCAAACTGAAGCAAACGCTCCTGCCACCATTAACCCCGAACTCTCTCGACGGGGAAACCACCACATGCGTGGAGTCTGAAAAAAATTGAACTTCTATATACAAAGATATTTATCTGAGCTTCACTTTTAATAATGAAAAATCAGAAAATCTAAAGTGAAAGAATGGGTAAGTAGCCGAATACATGTAGACATTAAAAAGGGCGAAGATTATCCATTTCTCATGGACAGGGTACAAAGCTGAATAACATTCCAGTACACGTTTCTGAAATGTTAGAAGGTTTGACTGTTTTATAACAAGCAGAGGTTGCTTTTGTAATCATGAAAAAAGAATGCTTTATATCATATTATTTATAATATCATGGAAACATGCTTATGTCACCCCCGAATTAAAGGAAAAGCAGAATATAAAATTGTGTATAGATATACATAGCAGAAACCATCTCAAATATGTAAAAAGTTATGCATATTTTAAGACTAGGAGGAAAGCTGTCAAAATATTAATAGTGATTATCATTCAGTGATGGGAAGATAGCTAATATATTATTCATGTGGTATCTGTCACATCTAGCAGAAGACCCAGTTCATAGCAAATGCTCAGGAAATATTTACTAAGTGGGTAATTATGAAAGTTTTCTGTATTTCCTGCAGTACACCCGCACTCGCTCTGAGGGTTAAAAACGCGGCAGTCAGTCTCCCCGCCACGTCTAAAGGGACGAAGGCAGGAAGCCGAAGGCAGGAAGCTTGAGGGGCAGCACGGTGCTCAGGGTCTGTTCAGCAGCACAGCCACTGTCTGACATCTTAGTTACATCTTTATTCGCAGACCACAGGCCTTGGCCCGGCACTGAGAAATAGATGCACGGGAAAGAACAGAAACTAAAAAGGATCTGGAGCAATTGGCTGCAGGCACGGAGACAGCCAGGCTCTCCCTGGAGCAACAGCTGCACATTTTTTAGCTAGAAGAGCACAGCTCCTGGGGCTGCTGGGCCCTCAGGAAGAGCCATGGAGCTCAGCACAGCCGCTCGGCCCCTCCTCACTCAGCCTCCGCCACTGCAGACCCTAGAGATGCTTCTTTCCCCCCCACCTGGGCAGCTTGCCTTGCATGGGGCTTGGCATGATGCCCAGCAGCCCTCCAGGCTGGGACAGCCAGGAACTTAGGTTGCAAACCTCTGGAAAAACGGTGCCTGGGGACAGAGACGGGGACTGGAGGGAGGACAAGCACCTAGGGTTAAATTCTCAGTGAGGTGACCATGTGCAAACCCTTTCCCTGCTTCTAGTCTCAGTCTCCTCATCTACCAAATGGGGAAGCTGGTCCCCGGCTCAGAGATTAGTTGGAGGTTAAATAAAGTCATGAATATGCAAGCATGTTTCAAATTGGTTATTTGCTATGCAAATGTGCTTGCGTTACTCTGATTTTTACTATCACTTCCTGACATCTTTTCAAATTAATTAATTAATGAAAATATTTACTATTACCATATTTTTCTATCATAATATTTTTCCCATAATATTTCTACCACATTACAGGCACAAAGTGCCCTTGGGGACAGTCTGCCAGCAAGGTTGTCTTTCCATCTTTATCAGACTTTGTATAGCAATGATCAGCACCAGCAACAGGGACACCCACAGCATCGCCCATCACTACACGCCACACACGGGCTGAAACTTTACACGCATTACTTCACATAATCCTCAGAACATGTGAAATGCCACCACCCTTCAATATATCACGAATCTTAATTACTTTACCTGACACTTGCACAGCAGCTCACACTACGCAAGAGGGTTGTGCCCTCTGCTGCTTCATGCAAATCCAACCACCGCACATAACCTCTGTAAGGCGGGTGGAGCAGGTACTGTCGCCACCCGACAGAGGACCAAAACAAAGCATAAAATGTTACCTAACCAGCTCAAAATCACCGAAAAAGTCAGTGCTGTGGCTGAGCCAGGACCTCTGCCAGTGTGGTACTGCACCCACCTCCCCCACCCCTCTGAGGAGCCCCCCTGCGCCTGTCCTGGGCCATCCTGTCTCCTCACAGGCCGGCTGGGTCAGGGTCAGGGTCAGGGTCAGGGTCAGGGTCAGGCTGGCTAACGCAGCCAGCCCCAGTCCCACATTCAAAGTCACAGGTGAGGAGAAGGGAGTGGGCTGGGCAAACAGGCAAAGGACTGCTGAGGACCAGCAACTGCACTGGCCACCTTTCGGCAGGCTGTGTGATTTGGTCCTCTCACCAGTCTGGTGAGACAGGGGTCACTGCTCCCACTTTACCGTGAGGAATCAGAGGCTCAGAAAGGTGAAACCATCTGCTGACCTTAAGAGCTGACAAGTGAAAGAGCCACTCTGAGTCCAAAGCGAGAGCCCTGTGCATGACAGTATGCTGCCTCCTAAAGACTGTTCCACCACCATCAATCATCATCCTCATCATCATCACCATCACCACCACATTCGCTCCTTACAAGCTCAGGAAAATGAAAGGTAGAGGGAGGAAGAGGGAAGGCAGGAGCCCAGTCCACCCCTGGGACAGGCCCGGGTGGCAAGGCGTCCTTCCAGAGGCCTGGCTCAGAACACCCACAGCGCCACTGGGTGCTGCTGTGCCTGCCTCGCTGCGCCCAGCTGCCCGCCCGTCTGCTGGGAGCCTTCCCTTCCTGCAGCCCCGAGCACCCAGCCTCACTTCAGAGCAGCTCGGTTTCTCAGAGAAAGGCAGCAGTGAAAGGATCTTGGCCAGATTTACTGGTGGTTTCTGCCAAGTGCTTTAATGTTCAGCAGGCCCATTTATAGCGAACTAAAGCGAAGGTGAAACAGCAGGCTGACAGATGTCAGGGCCCCGAATGGGAAGACCCTGGTCCCCCTGCAGCAGAGCTGGCCCGAGTGGGGGTGGGGAGGCTGGCGGGGGGAGGGCTGGGGAGTCAGACACGACTGCAGAGACAACCGGGTACCACAGAATCATTTCCTTCTTTTACACCAAAGATGAAACATTTTTATAATACGATTTTGAAAAACCTAACCTTAAGACATTTGGAATTTTTTTTTAAAAATTAACTAAATCTCACAAAGATTAAAATTAAAATAATTCATAATCCCATTACTTGAAATAAGCACAATGAGCATTTAAGTGAATAAGCTGCCAACCTTTTTTGTGTACATGAAACTCTTCACTATAAAAATGAAATCATATTACAAATACTATTATGCAATCTACCTTTAAAAAATAAAAAAGTACCATGTCCGTTTAATATTTTTATCATTGTTGATATATATAGATTCCAATACACAAATGTAAAGCAATTTATTTTCCCACTGCTAAAAATTTACTTTCCAATTTTATACCATTATACATAATCAAAAGACACTTCTATAGACAAGAGTTTTGACAATTTTGGGGGGTAAATTCCTAAATCACTGAATCAGAAATGTATGGATTTTGGTATATATTGCCATATTATCCTAAAAAAAATTGTATAGATTTATACAAAGAATAACTTAACCTTTCCTGTGAAGTGTGGAAGTAAAAGCAATACTTCTAACACAAGCAACTTTTTAAGCTCACTTGAAAAATTTTAGGTTCAAATGTTAGGGATAAGAAAAGCCCCCAAATTTTTTTTTAAATACATACATTCTAAAATCCCATGAATGATTTAGGCAGCACGTATCAAAAACCTTAAAAGCACGCATTCCCTTTGCTCTGCAATTTCACACTTGGGACTGTGTGGTAGGGAATCATCTCAACAAAGATGTGTGTATAAAAATATTCATCGAAACCTTATTCATAATAACAAAAAATTTAAACAAACTAAATGTCCAAAACGAGGGCTTATGAAAGTGAACTGTGCTATGACCACAGACGGAGTATTTTGCAACCATTAGAAATGGCTGTTTACAAAGAATTTTCTGAGACATGAGAAAATGCTGATGGTTTTAATGCTGAACAGAAAATAAAAAGCTGAATACAAATTGTATGTACAGTATGTGTTCTCAATCATGTTTAAAACTATGTAGTTTAAAAAAGGGGAATAAAGAAAAATTCCAAAATGTTAAGAGCTGTTGCTCTAGCATGCAATAGGGGATTATGGGATGAATTTTTTCCCATTTTTTAAAAACAGTTGTCTGAACTCTATACTTTTTACAATGAGCACACAATACTTTGATAACCAGGAACAAAGTAAACAAACAACTTTTTTTAAACTGCGTGATAAAGCAACAGTCAGACCCTGCATGTTTATTTAAATAAAAACACGCATCAAAACCAACAGGTCCGTGCTGTCCAGCAGGAAAAAGGGACGAAGGGAAGTGTGCACAAGACTGTCTCCTGGGCATTTCCTTACTCGACTTCAACCACATGAGAATAAACAGTCATTATCAGTAACGGTAAGAACCAATATTTGAATGACAATATCTTATATAATATTGTTGTGAAATGCACACAGATGATCTTTTTTCTGTAATGTTGCACATATACTCACAGAGATAACTGAATGTTAATCATGGTCATCTCTGGGTGATGAAATTTCTTTTACTTTCTTCACTTTTTAAAAATTTACGCTAAACATGGATTGGTTTAGTATCACAAAAAATGAACACAGTTACTTTCGCTTTGACAGATATTAATGAACAGTAACAAGCACTGAATGAAAAGTCTAATCTGAAGAGGAAGCTGACAAGCCAGGTGCTAACAAGTGAAGGCTTCCGGCCAGGTCTTTGTCCAGCAGGCTGCATCAGAGAGCTGGCTACCCATCATCCTCTTCCAAGGGGCGTGGGCCCTGGGCCCTGGGCCCTGGTCCCTGGTGCCTGGTGCCTGGTCCCTGGGGCAGATGTGCAGCTTTGCCGAGTGAAGAGTGGCAGAAGGTCCCGAGTCTACAGACTTACCACTACCACCAAGCAACCAAGAACCCCCAGGGAGGTGGACAAGGAGGCCCCATGCTGGAAGCAGGGTCCTGACTCTCCTGAGTCCTGATCTGGGCTCTGAACCTCTTTCAGCTGAGGCAGAGCAGAGAACACCAAGACAGCAAGAAGGGAGATTTGAGGGTCTGGGTGTCAGGAAATCGTGCTTCTAGCAGCCCCGGGGCAACCCTTCGGGGTAGGGATTACAAGTCCCTTTTTACAGAAAAAAGACTCTGAGGAGTCCAGTGACTTCCTCCAGGTCTCAGGACATCAGCTACAGAGCAACTCCTTTCCAACTCTGGTGCCCTTCCATACCTTCCATGTCTGCTTCTGCAGAATTAACTAGGCACCTTTTTAAGAATACACATTCCTAGGCGGACCTGTGGAATCAAAAATGCAGGAGCAGGGCCCAAGAACCCGTCTAAAATCTCTCCTGGGTGATTGTCTGGCCTGGCCTATGAGCAGCATCTGCCTGCTGGTCCAGGAGGGGGGGCAGCAGCTGGTCACTTCGTGGCCTGCTCCCGACACCCTTGCCTTCCTCCTCTTCCCCCCTCACTCCCCATCCTGCTCACTCACCTGTTCAGTCTCACTGAAATAATGCTTTTACTGTTGATGAGGTGGCTTTGGGTGAGCACTCTGTAGCACACTCAACATTTTCAATTTCATCTTCTAAATACTGGTAACTTCACCTCCCGACCTTACTTCCTCCTGCACTACAGAGGTTCGGGTCACTGTCGCTTCCCAGGTGGATTTCTGCAACAGCCTCCCGGCCTCCCCGCCTCCACAGCCTGATTTCCAATCAGCAACCAGAGTCATTTTTCACAAACGCAGATGTGATCTCCCCACTGTCTGAAAAACGTATTTCAAAGGAGTTACTCCAAAAATGCAGACCCCTAGGCCCTACTTCAGACTCACCGACTCAATCTCTGGGAGCAGGGTCCCAGAAACCTGTATTTTTATAAGATCCTCAAGTGATGACGATGTTGCGGTAGATTAGATTATTGTTCAAAAAATATCCACTCCCTCCTCCGGGCCTCCATGCACAGAGACACTTCCCTGCCCAGTGATAACGGGCTTGGGCCTCTGTGATTTCCTTGGCCAATGGGATGTGACAGGAACAGGTGCTTAAAAATGAACTTGAGTGGTTGCGGTTATGCCCTTGGTGTCTACGGCTGCCGTGCAAAGATGCCCTGGGAAGCTTGCTGACTCCAGAAGATGGACAGATAGATAAAGCCAACTTAATCCCAGTCAAAGATACGGAGCCAAGCCCACTGAACCCAACATACAGCAGCTACATCCCGGCTGACCTCCAGATGTGAGCATAAGAACGAATGCTTGATGTTGCAGATCTGAGTTTCGCAATAGTGTGTCACACTCATTACCGTGGCCATGGGTGACTGACAGATGCACAGCCAACGTGGGAACGTCTGGCCGTGGTAAAGTGCAAACTCTTCGACCTGGTACACGAGGCCTTCTCCACAAGACCACGGCCGGCCTCGTCTCTCCACTCCCCAGTCTCAGCCGGGGTCCGCGACTCTCTCACCAAACAGTGTTCTCTGACACCACCACACCTCTGCTCATGTGGCCTACCCTCCCCTGTCCCTCACTGCTTCACCCCAGCAGCTCCTTTAAGACACGTACAAGCGCCACTACTCCGTACACTATGAACACTGAAGTTCTCACTTCTCGGCACCCTGACAACCAACCACACACAGGAGCGCAGCGGTGCACAGGCTCTGAAATCCGCCTGCGTCTGGAGCCCATTCGTGCCATTTGCCAGCAGTGTGGCTTTGGACAAGTTATTCAGCTTCTCTGAACCTGTCTCCTCACTGCCTACGCCTCACAGCTTTGCAGCAACAGGAGTAAATGAAGTGATGTGAAGTGTCCGGCAGAGCCTGGCGCATGGTAAAAGACCAACAGACCTCCCCCTCCTCCCCACTCCCAGGGTCCCGCAGAGGGCGAGGCCCAGGCCAGAGACTCGGTCCACGAGAATCACATCAGTTCATTTTCCTCACTTCAGACATGAACAAGAGATTCCCTGGATCAGACACACAAGCATTACATCTGCTGGGAACAGTACCTGTTTTTCTATGAGTCGAATGGTGTCCTCCGAGGCCTTGTCCTTTGATTTCTTCAGCTTATTCATCGCATTGCTACGAACCTTCCGTAAAGAGTCTTTGGCCTTGTTGGTGTTCTGTTTGGCCAGTTTCACCAGCATCTCCCTGTGCTCCCTGGTTACCCTGACAAGAGACAAAAGAGGGGTCAATAAAATCATCCTCTACATTAACTGCTAGCCAAGAATTTAGAATTACGCTGTCCATTAGCTCAGCGGTTTGTAAGCTCACTCTCTGATGGCAGATGAGCTTCACGTTCCTGACACGGGCCCATGGAGTGTGCAGGGTCAAGGGAAGTCCCTGGTGAGTTGGCTGGGAAGAGCCAGAAAGAGCACTGCTCAAAACCGTGAGCCAGGGAGGCGAGGCAGACCGAGGGCCAAATCCTGGCCGTGCCGCACGAGAGGCATATCCGGCTTCCTCTCCTCGGAGTCCCGTCTTCACCATGGGAACCGTCGGTACCCGTCTCAGTCGGTGGCGTGAAGATTACACGGGATGATGTGTGTGGTGTTGGGCACTGACCCCGGCACATCATCTCCAAATCTCTAATGCGCCCGAACAAATAAGTAGCACCTTCAGAATCTCAACTAGTATTATACCAAATGACTTGAGAATCACCTCAAAACTGACCAAGATATGACATGAGTCCCAACATGACGTGTGAGAACCTGTGCACTGGTCACCTCCATAAAGGGCCCCTGAGAGCATCTGGCACAATAGACGTGCTTCATGAGTGTCCGTTATTTTTCTGTTAGCATCCTTACCGTAACGACAATGGGCACGGAGGGCCTGCTCTGTCAGTCACTAGGGCGGGCACTTCATATGCCGATCCTTACAACTGTACGGGGCGGGTATTCCTATGCCTACTTCACATCTAATCAGCACAACAGCCCAGCACCGCAGGCCGACAGGTTTGTCCTTCACTCTTCGTCCTGTACACACTGAGGTCTGCTACCTGCCACAGCCAGTGCTGGGCACAGCGGGCACGAGGATGAACGTGACGAACCTTTGTCCTGCTCTTCGGGAGCTTAGCTAGACGGAGCGGTCAGGAAGGAGAAAGTGACAATGGAGTGTGAGGACTGCTCTGGGCGGGATGTGGGGGAGCACCAGGCGCAGAAGCAGCCCCGCTGACCCGCCAGTTTCTGTCCGAGTTTGGGGAGTGGGCAGTAAGGGAAGGCTTTCCTAGAGAAATAGTATCTAAATGTGGAAGTTGTTAGGTCTGCTCACTGGTATTCTGGTCCTCATTCCTTCCAGGAGGAATGCATTTCCCAACCGGTCTGAAGTTCAGTGTTACCTCAGGGCAGAAGCTTGAAGAGCCAGTGTGAGCCCCACCACACCAGGTTCCGCTGGCCACGGTGAGTAGACATACAACAGCTATCAGCTTGGGTCCACGACTACCAGGAACAGTGTCCACCATGCAGAATGAGCAAGAACTAAGGCTGTGTGAGCCACGGAGGTCAGGGGGCTGCTTGTTACTACAGCAGAGCCCATCCGATCCTGACTAGCAGACGGCACTAGGACCTGAACCTGAAGAATGGGTCCAAGCTGCCAGCACTGGCACGGCAAAGGGACACTTCGGTGGGAAAACACCGCAGTGGAAAGGCTCTGAGCCTCGGAGACCACGTTCCACTGAGGAACTGACTGGAATGCAGATGACAAAGAAGAGAGTGACAGGACAAGAGGCTAGAAACCCACGTCACGGAGGCCCTCGTAAGATCGTGAACTCTAAAGAAGTCTGGTATCTTACACAAAGTCAAACCCAGGCTGCCCTGTCTCAAAAGCCAACAGTCCTAGTATGACCAAAGCCCTCTGTCCCCGGGCCCTGAGCACCTAGCTCTTGACCCTCAGATTGGTCGTTCTTGCTCAGTAAAGACAACCCCCAGTCATGGGTCCACGTTCCACATAAAACAGTGGCAGGTGGGTGTTAAAGACTTAGTGGCATCCACCTGGTGTTTTTTCCCTGATAGGATGAGAAGAAAACTTGAAAAGTTTGAGAAAGCATACACTCTGAAGACAAAGTAGACAGCTGCGTTACAAGGAAATCCTTCTGGATTCAGCTAATTGGAGGTATTCTCAAAATAAAAACGGTCCCCATCACTACCACGGGTAAGTCACGCTCTGCCGGTGAGTGCCTTACGCACGTCACCTTCCCGATCCTCACAACGCTCTTCAGACTGGATTCTCACACCCCCATCCTGCCAGGAGGAAACCGCGGCACGCAGGTTAAATCACGCGGCCGTGGGCCTGGGCGACAGAACGGGATTCCAGTGCAGATCCTCCTGGCCTGTGTTCCCTCCACGACCCCAGGCCGCCTGCCCCTTGTCATCCATCGCACACAAACTACGCTCGGCGGCCGTGACTTCTGCTTCCAGGCAGGAAGCTTTTCAAAGTCGGTAACATGAAGCTTAGGACTGAAAAGGACAAAACCACCATGTCAGGAGTTTAGGGATTTGGATCAGATCTTGTTACTTTTATGGTTTTTAATTCATTGAACAAAAATCATGCTGACATGTTTAGGTCTCTTTTTTGTTCTGCCAAAGCATATGTCAGTATGAGGAAGGAACAGGGAAATTAAAACTTGATCCACTGACTCAAAAAACTTAATCCTGCTGAAATACTAGGAGGGGCAGAAAACAAATGAACCTAGGTCTGCAAGAACCTCTCAAACTCCCTAACGAGAACTATTCCAATCCTGTATTTCATATATAATTCGAAATGAGTAGGTATCCTACTGTTTAGATGATCTTTAATAAAAAAGTGTTTTAATCTCATCAGCATCCTTTTCACTACATTGTTTTATTTATATTTTACATGAAGAAAAAAGCCCATACATTTAACATACATAAACTGGGGCTTAAAAAAGTCTTAAGAGTAAAAGGCAGTATAAAGAAAACAAAATCACAATAGGTGTAACGTGGCCTCAATAAAGTGCATTTTGTATTTATTCATATAACTGTGACATGACTACACTGTTAACAGAAGAGTTTCCACACACAACAGTGTCCAATTAATGATGCTGACAAAAACACTCCAGTTTCGGGAAGCAGGGACAGAGGCAGCATCTACGGAAATGGAGAGGGGGGCACAGTGAGGAGGGGGGACCAGGGGAGAAGGGAGGGGTGCCTGGCACTGGAGGGGCTGCGTTTGGGGCCCTGAGCTGAAAGGCACCTGCCCCACAAGACCAGAAGCAGTGAGGGGGGAAGGCGGCGGTTCTGAAGTCAGACGGCCCCGTTTGGTCCTGCATCTGCCACTCAGACGCGGACTGTGCTCAGGCAAGCTGCTCATTCTCTCTGAGCCTCCGTTTCCTCATCTCAAAGGTGAAATTATTAAAAACATCTTCATATCCTACAGTATTGGGAGAAGCAGTCACAACATGTATAAAGTACCCATAAAGACAGCAGCATATAGTAGCCTTGAGTAAATGATAGCATTTATGAATGTTTTAATCAAACACACTTAATTGCTTTCTCATGAAACAAGGCACATCTGTTTTAGAAAAGAAACACACTACATTATGGAACTATTTTAATGCCTTTCCAAACCAGTGATTAATACGTCCGATGGTCTCCATGCTGCATTCATGGGGTTCTGTGAGTACACGCTAGTTTGTATTCCAGGCTTCGGGCCTCGGCCAGCTGGTTCCAAGCGCCCGCTCTGTGCCTGGGGTGCGCTGGGTCAGTGAGCGCTGGCTGCGGCCCCTGCTTTCCCTGCCAGACCCTGGGCCAGGCTGAGGAGCTCCAGAGAGGAAGCAGGCCTGAGCCACCTTCTCCAGGGACTCAGTCCAGCGGTGGAGACAAACTGTCAACCACCACCTGGAAAGAGGCCGACTGCTGCTAGGACAGAGGGACAGACGTTCTGTGGAAGGGGCATGATGCTGCAAGTTCAACTCCTACTGCCTTGAGATTTGGCAAGTACCGAGGAGATGCAGAGAAACCTGTCAGCTGCAGAAGAAAGGAAGGGGAAGCACGGTAAGAAATACAATGGCCAGAGGGCATGAGACTTCAAAGGGTGCATCAGGGCCAAACTTGTTCTGGAGGCCGAGCTATCAAACTCTCCTTTAGCCACAAAGCCCTGGTTCCAGAGAAAAAACCGAGGCAGGTAAAACGAGAGCTGTTCAGTGACAGAGGAAAGGGGCACTGGGGCCGGGCAGCCCAGGAAGCTTAGCTCCACCCCAACTACCCTGCACTTCTGAGCCACAACCTACTGGCTGAGGGGCCTTTGGCAAGCTGTTTAAACTCTCTGAGCTTTTGCCCCAACTGCTGTGGCTCAGTTGGCTGGGTGTCCTCCCGAAAACCAAAAGGTCACCAGGTCAATTCCCGGTTGGGGCACAGGCCTGGATTGCAGGTTCGGTCCCGTCAGGGCATATACGAGAGGCCACTGATCAGTCTCTCACATGGGTGCTTTTCTCCCTCTCTCTCCCCTTCCCTTTCCCTCTCTAAAAATAAATAAAATCTTTAAAAAGGCTTTCTGAGTATTGATGATGTCATCTAGAAATAGAAATTGAAAACAAACAACAAAACAGCATCTACCTTTCAGAGTCACTGTGAGGAGATGAGATGACACCTGGAAGTACACAGCACAAAGCTTGGCGGAGATTGAATACTCGGCGCGTGTAAGCTGCCTTTGCTGCAACTGTTATTTACGTTTCGGCAACCACGGAGGCATCTTCCAGTGATGAAGAGCTTATCCATGGAAGTTTTTATCAACAGAGAAATGGTAGGGCAAACTAACTATGTATGCTTCAGTAGGAGGACTTTTTGAGACCTAATTTAATATCTCATGTACATTTTAAGACACAAATGCTCCCAGCACATAGCCCTGAAATCTTCTTTCTTCAGTGTTCATGGTTCATTCAGTTTACAGTTTCTTTCGACAGCTCTTTACTGGGTACTTACTATGTGCCAGCTGCTGTGCCAGACACTAGGGATATAGCTTCAGACACCCTTGAGTTTACAGCATGGCAAGGAGGGCAATCATGAAGCAAACGCATGCACAGCTAACAATACGCAGCCATAAGGAGCAAATAAAGACATAGAGAGTCCCATGAAAATAATGAGCAGGGAAAGGCAGTCCACAAGCTCTCCTCGGGGGACCCCAGGAACAACAAGAGGAGATAACCGCGCTAAGTG